CCGCGCTGCCGTCTGCAGTAATTCCACCACCGCCTGCATGCCGCGCGGCTGTCGTGCCAAGACCGGCCTCCGGACTCGATTCACGAGCTAAACGCGCCTGACCTGGTCTCCTGGAGGTATCTTGTGCGTGCCGACCAAAGGGTGCCCCTGAGTTCTAAATGCCACTGCGCGGCCGAGCGCTTCTTCTGGTGTTTACCGGCCGCAACCTCCCCTCCCCTCCCTGAGCTCAAGTGATCTCCGAACTGACGGACTTCGCCCTGCTTACTAAACCGGAATCACCGACGGGATACGGCGGCGGCCTGCTGGCGTCGCCACCGGATCCTGTCTGAGCGCTCGGCCGGCCGATCCTCTCTCGGTGCACGTCAGAGCGGCGCTATCGGGGCTGCGATCGCCGGTGGCGCTCGTGACTGCCGGTGCCCGTGCGGACACGTGGGCCGCCCGAGCGGCCGCCGCCGCCGCCGCCGCCGCCGCCGCCACCGCCGCCGCAGCCGCTGCCGCCGTCCCACTCCCCGCTATTGATCCGAATCGCAGCAGCCGCGGCGCCGTCAGGTTCGGTCGTCAAAGACGTCTGCCGCCGGCGGGACACGATGCCCCCGGCCGGATGGCGGAGGGGGGGGGGGGGAGGAGGAAGCGGGGTCGTGCCGTCCGACGTCTGGAGCTGGAAATGACCTGACCCGGGGTACGTTGCTTGGTCCCGGGGAATGCGTGGTGTGACCGGGGAGGCGAGATCTGACCCGGGGGGCTGTGACCTGACCTTGGTACTGTGACCTAACCCGGCGAATGTGACCTGACGGGGAGATGTGACCGGAGCTGACATTCATGGGCGTTGAGGCTTCCCCTGAACTGGCCAAGATGGCCAACCTCCGCATTGAAAACTGGCCCTGGAACCAGTTCGTGACGCTCCAAGTATCGCTTTAACAATTAGGAAGACGCCGTGGGCCAGAAGGTGGCTTTAGGTCCCGTTGCGCAACTTGCTGGAGTGAAGTTGTCCGACAGTGCGCCTAGTGTTCCATCGCCCGACAATGGCGGGACCGTGAGCGCTAGTTGGCCCATCCAAGCACAAGCAGATGACCTCGCGTATTTCGTACCTGTCTCTTCGATCGACGGACACCTTTTGAGATCCCCGAAGGTCTCAACGATGCACGGACATCGCGTCAGAACCTTTGGCTAGAAGCCAACATCACAGAGGAACGAAGACAAAAGCAGCGGCGGCTGCCACTCACGCAGTGAAGCTTCCTGACGACATTGCTGCTGGTGATTGTTCCTCCGGGGGACAATGGTGCCATGCCGCGCCGTTTACCGGGCGCCGGTGAGATCGAGCCCTGCTGTGTCACGCGGCCGTCACTGAGCCGGGTCCTAGGCGCCGCGGCATGTTGTTCAGGCTGGGCTCTCAGGTCGTCAGTGACTGCGTGGCTGTAAATAATCCGAACATTTATCACTACAGCCCGACGTGCCTTAAACAAAGCATGCCATTAAGTGTGAATTGCCTACGCCCACCGTAATTGTCCAAGTGTTCTGTTAGGTGCTTCTGTGGCAGACGCTCAGGAGGATGGCGGGCTGCGCGACCTAACGCTGGCCTGCATCCGCCGGCCCCTCCCCCTCTCCCCCTCCCCGCCAGCGCGGGACGGGGCGTCGCACCACCTCCCGGGCGAACGTGGCAACGCTGTTGGTTTAGCCGAGATAATTACACGTGTTATTGGTCTCAGCACGCCCCGTGGCGGTCCCAGGGGGCGGACCGCCTAATTTGGCGCCGCGCGTCCGCCCGGGCGAGTGTCAAGGAGCGCCACATTGGGGTCGTGGCTGGGGCGGATGGTGCGGGGCAAGCGCTGGCGAGAGCCGCGCTGGTCTCGAAGTCGGCAGGCGCAGGGTCTAAATCAGCGTCAGTAGGAGATGAGTAAGCACCTGACTCCAGCCCACAGCTGCCGGTCTGCAGTACCTGCCTGGCGGCTGCAGCCGTCCGGCGCCCACCGACGCCACGTGTTCGGTGGACGGACGGCGGCACACGCGGCGGTCGTGGCGCGAACCGTGCGCGCCATCTCGCCCGCCGGTGCCGACCACGGCAGCCTTCGGGGAAAGGGGCTGGAGGGGAGGGAGAGGGTGAACCCGGAGTGTGTTGGTCCGGTGACCTATCACGCATGGCCCGGCGCGAGCTTGAACGAACGGAAACAGAGCTCATGTTGCACGCCATGCAACACGACTGTTTGTGTTTACGCTTGCGCCCGACGGCGCTCTGCACGCCCGTCTGCAAAACTCGAGCGCGAGTGATCGGCGTGTGGCGCTGAAGGCTCCGCCGCCGGGCTGCACTGCAACGGCAACGAGCACGCTATCAAGCTGACCCCTTTACGATAATTCTTTGCGACTGACTGAGAACACAAACAGAGCTCAATCGCAAAGTCAGCCGGGCGTTAGTGGGCCGATAAGCCGGCGTGGCGCCTGTCGAGCTGCCGCCTCACGCGGCGGCGGCGGCGGCGGCGGCGGCGGCGGGCGCGGCGCCGCCCGCCCGGCCGGCCGGCTAGTTGGCCGAGCCGCCGCGGGCGGCGCCCGAATCAGGTCACCAGGGTGGTCGGCGCGGCGCAGCCGTCCTCCCCGCGGCCGCCGGCCGGCCCAGCCTCCGACAGACGCCGTGCCCCGCGCGGATGCCGCCGCTGCGGACGAAAAAGCGGCGGCCACACCGGCCCGCTCCAAATGGGCCATCGTTTAGATACGGAGATGAGCCCAAATTGGGGTGGGGGTCGGCGCGGAAGACGGATCGGCCGGTTAGACGCGTCGGCTCGATGCCGACCGGAGGTAATGCGCCCGCTCCGGTCCACTTTTCACGGACTAGCGCGGCTGTCGGCCCTGTCGTCGTCTGTTGTGACCGATCGCCTCGTGCAGCTATGCCATCGCTCCGGCGGGACCCTAACGCGACAGACGGCCGGTCGGGACGCGGTGACCTGGGGTCGGTCTCGGCAGGCGCCGCTCGGCGGCCGCCGGCGCCGGGCGCGGACGACGCCGGGCTGCTGCCGCTGCCGACGCACGGCCGCCGGGCCGCCTCCTGCCGGGAGCGCGGTCCGCTAGGGGCGCGGCCTCCGTGAGACCAGGCGCCGGTTCGATTACACCGGAGCGGCTTGCCGACACCGAGCCGGCGCCAGATGGGGTAATGTCGCGCGTGGAGACGGCCTAATGAGCTGACGACGCTGGCGGCGGGGCTTTCCGGCAATTGTGGCGCGGCTCAGTTATGTAGGCATTATTCTACTCTGTCCGGAAGCAGCACCGGAAGCAGTACTGTGTTCGCCACCAACAGTGCGACACTGGACGTTCGACGCAGGTTGTTAACTTCCTGCTCAAATCAGGTGCGGCGTACGCTCTGCGCGTCAGTTGCAGTTACGTGTGCCGGAGGTTTTGGTAGTTCAGCTTTTTTTGCTGTCAGAATTGTGGCATAAAATTCAGCGCAATCTACTTCCACTCATCGTTCGGTAGTAATTGATGTATTACCAGTGTTGTGTGTGGAGTAATACAATTCGGTAAATCCAGCTGAAATTGCCTTCCTCAATCAAGTGTCATGTTTCATCCCTAATGGTTTGTTGAGATGTTGTACATCCGCGATCTCGGCGGAGTGGATCTGATGGGAGCGGGCCTCGGGGCTGCTCGGATCGGACGTTTCCACGAACCACGAGTGGGTTTGGGCCTGTGTGGAATGGTGTGAAATTGGAGGAAGGCATGTTGCTTTAGGAGCGGTTGTCAAAGAAACAGTCCATTGACGACATGTACAAGACGGAACGTCAGTTGCCGCGTCCAGTGCTCGGCAGTAATCTTCGTCCGATGTCGCGCTGTCTGCGTGACCGGGGTGGTCCCACTTAGGACCCGCGGCGGTTCGCGGTGGCTTGCCGGCCCGACCCGCTGGTGAGCGGCGACACTGATCTCCGGCGGAGGGACGTGGCCCGGCAGGCGAGGCGTGCAGCCAGCCGTCGTCCAGCGGCGTGCCGTCCTGCCCGCCGGATACAGGCGACCGCCGCCAGCCGCCAGTGCCGTCGTGGCCGCGGGCGGCTCGCTTCGGCGGCGTGGCGCGAGACCGGCGGCGGCGGCGGCGTGTCGCGACTCTGCGAGGGGAGCGCCGCCGCCGCCGCGCCGCTCCAGAGGGACCGCATGGGCTGCGTGAGGACACTGATCAACGAACTGCGGTGCTCTTTGTGCGAGGCTGCGGCCACAGATCAATACTGGAGAGCTCCGGTCGGCCGCTGGTCGGCGGCGCCGCGCCGGCGGGGCCGCCATCGCCGGGCCGCGGTGCGCTCGGTCTCACGCGGCACGCGCCGCGTCCGGTGTCCGCCGTCACCGGGCCGGGCAGATCGCAGCGCTCTTCCCAAATGGCCGACGGCGTCCGGCCGAGTTCAGTGTTCACCGAACGTGATCGACCTTAAGTAGATCGACCACAGAGATGGACGGCGCGGGGCGTCCGTCCCTGTGGTCGAAACCGAGACTTTTGGACGATGTCGAGGCGGTGCGGATGTGATTAGGCCCGGTGAGGCTCGAGGAGGCCGCCCACTGCTTTTCCCTGCCGGTAGAGGCGGGGGTTCGGGGTTGAGGGCATTGACTGTTCAGTGGCGTCGGCGCTTGTCTGCTGTGACGTGTCCACTATCTACCATCAGCTGTCCGGTTAGTGTCCACTCGTTCTCTTCAGCGTCAGCTAACCGCTTTCCAATCGAGGCCGCTCCCCGCGTCATCAATCTAAACTGGACGGATGGCGTCAGCCGGGGCTTCAGGGTCCATTGACGGAGGCCGGCTCACGCCACAGCGGAGGTGGCGTTGGCGGTCACCAACGCCGAGCTCCAGGTCTTCTCACACCGCACTGCACCAGAGGCAGTGTCGGCTGAGGGGGGGGGGGGGAGCAGGACAGAGGCGACAGGGGCACTGCATGATCATAAGCGAATATAAACGAAGCACATCATCACGAGCTGTCTTGTGAGTGCGCGACGCTGTCTGTTCGAGCTTGGTCACCGACACTGCTCTGTCCCTGTCCTCAGATGCCTGTTCGGGAGCCGACCTGACCTGACCTGAAGCGTCATCAGCGCGGCCAGCATGGAGGACGACCTAAGTGTCACCTCCGACGAGCTGATCTTCATCAGGATCAGCGTACCTGAGCTGAGCGTCGAGAAATGCCTGCAGTTCGGCCGCAACGAGCTGGTCTGGGATATCAAGCAGCAGTGTCTCAGCTCGTTGCCCAAGGTGAGCTCGCCGTGCGGTGGCCGCGCCTGGCACCCCAGCCGTGCAGGTCGGTTCGGGTTGTGTCGAACCGCTCCGGCGAATCTGACTGTAGCATGCTGAGGCTTATTTGGAGGCATTTTCCACTTCCAGTTCTTTTCTCCCGTCTTTTGTCACCAACTCTGCTACTGTTTATCGGTGAGTTTTAAGTAAAGCGTTTGCTTTGTACACCACAGGTGCCGACTTTGTAGTCCATCACCTCATGACATATTTTGAGACCACCACGGCCATATTTGGCCACAATTTTTCGTGTAGCCTTGCAAATGCTGTCTTTTAACCTGAGGAGCAAGGCGATCGATCATGCTGTCCTATTACGTCCGACACGTTCCACTTCTATCCGTCTGATAACGCCGGGCCTATCACCCTGGCCTGCCTCCACATTAAATGACTGCCACGACCTGCGGCGGGTGAGGCGTCCGCTCTGTCCGCGACGGGGCGGGCGGAACGAGACGGGCGGGGCAACGCCTCCGCCGCACCATCTGCCGACGGCCGCGACGGTGCGGCCGGTCAGCCGCCGGCCCGCGAGACTAGCCGACCGGCCACGCGGCGCGGGCTACGGCCGCTCGCAGCCGGGTTTTTGTGTTAGCGGACTGATTGATCGGTCAGCGTTGGCCGCTTAATCATGTATCCCGATATAGCGTAATCAATTGTGCCGTTCGGGTGTTTAGGCGGTTCGATCGCCTCGACACCTACTGCGGGCGATCCGTGCCAAAACAACGCACGCCGCGCGGCCGCGGCCGCCGCTGATGGATGGAGACGAAGCGGCTGGAGCGGCGCGGCCCGCTCGGCCGGACGCCGCGGGCCGGTCCGGCCGCGCTCGTGACCCAGACCGTGGCCGGGATCCAGGCTGCGCCCGTGACCCCGGAGCGTGTGACGGGGAGCGCGCGTGAGACACGACACTGGCGGAGAGACTGAGCGCGACCAATACCGTGACTGAGGCGGAGACCGAGGTGGCCCCTGTGGCGGCAATCCTTGACCGAGCCTTCACAGCGTCGCCCCGTAGCGCCATCGGCCCGGCCGGCCGTCAAGCACCTGGTGCCACCAGTGGGCACAGCTGACGCCGCCAGAGCCCCCCCAGGACCTCGCTAGGGCCTCGCCAGGGCCGCCACCGGCTCGGCCGCCGCGGCTGGTCGAGACGGCACCGTGTGTGCAGTCGGTCACGCGCCTGTCGATGACACGCCCACGCATGAACCGGGTGTGGAGCCGTCGAAGTGCGCTTGGACGGGGCAGTGATGTTCGAATCAGTGGAGATGACTTAACTATGGTAGTGTTAGGTTTGTGTACCCAAAATTTATGAAAACTCGTAGGCTGTGTATAGGGCATGTAAGATGGGGTAACATCGGTGAAGTGACGCATCTTTACATGCCATACAACGGGTTCGAAGTGGCCTTGCGACTGCGCTGCTCAGCGTGAATGGACCGAAGAAATCCCGCCACCAATCCAGCAATGTCTTCCGTCACCAATCCGCTCCGGGAGAGGGCGGTGCGATCGCGGCTCCACCTCTACCGCGCGGCAGTTCGGTCCAGGTGGCGCGCCGATCACGCCACCTCGGCCGGACCCGGGCTGGCACCGGACGGGTTCGTCATACCGAACGCCACTTCTTGTCCGTCGACCCGCGGGCAAAAACGCCCCGAACGGCGTGACCAGCCGGTGTTATTCCACGCCTGTGTCCCGGGGCAAACGACCCGAGCCGCGCAGCCCTGGCGCGCCCGTGACCTTGACCCGTGACCAGGGCCGGGGCGGGGCCAGCGGACCGTCGATAGGTATCCCAGCGTGCCACACGGTAGCATTCTTGAGTCTCAGGTGACTGTGGGGTACCGCGAGACCGTGCCCGGCTGTCTCGTCAGCGGAACATGCAGACTCCCTTAGGGGACACGTAGACTCCCTTAGGGAACACGTAGACTCCCTTAGGGAACACGTAGACTCCCTTAGGGAACACGCAGACTCCCGTACTGGCGCAGCCGAACAGCTGCACCACTGACAAACAGCCTAGTTTATTTGTCTGCGATGTATGTACATTCCTCTAAGACCGTGAACCACCGTCTCCCCATGATGCGTTCATACATTATTTTCAGTAACGAGCCATCTGTGGGCAGCCAGGGACGGGGTCGCGGGAAATACATTAAATTAGTTGCTTTTAGTCTGCGGTTCAAGCTCTTTGCTTATCGCATATCATTTGATTCCGGACGGGTTATGACAATCTGGATGGGAACCAGTACGAGACATTCGCTCCAACGTCGCGATGTGTTGTTTTTGTGCGATGTTTTATGTCCCCGATCTCGAGGCCCCGGGTGTGTCATTAATCAACGAATCTCCAGTGGGACGTGATGTGCTTTGTGCCGCGCTTCTGTTCTGCTTGTAAATCAGTGATACGTCGAATGCAAAAAAGCCATCAAGCTGGCGCGCCGGCAGAAGCTGAACCGTTTGAAGGCCTCGGCGTACACCCTGCTTACTCTTTCCCATATGTTGAATATCTCTCCGTTGTGAACAACCGCTTACAAATGCGGCCTGATCATGCCGGAGCATAGTCACAAGGCCCTGAGCTGCCTGTTTTCCTTCACACCCTCGTTCTTTATCACACTCTTGGCCACATTTCACGAAGTCATTCATCCTGACAAAAGCCGTGGCCCACTGTATGCGCGCAGGTTCTTTTGCGGTTGCCATCACTTTCACTGCACGCAAAAAGCATTCGCGGCTCTGCTCTGTGGCCGTGGTTTTGCTCGCCGCGTTCTGTTGGGCAGAGCTCATGGTCACGGTTTGGGCTGGGCTGGGCTGGGCTGGGCTGCCGCTGCCACTGCCGCTGCCGCTGCCGCTAACTAACTCTGTACCCTGCGTTTCATCGGCCGTGGTCCAGGTGGCGCTCTGGTTTCGGGTATGTGCTCCGATCGTTCGCCGTGCTCGGCGTGCCTGTGCGCCGGTCATGCCCTATCTGTAACGCGTGCGTGCGTGCGCGCGTGCGTGCATGCGTGTGGGCGTGTGTGTATGGCCGGTGATTGTTGACTCCCAGTCGGTAGTGGCCGCCGGGGTCCGTCGTTTCATGTGCCCCCCCCCCCCCTCCCCTCCGCTGCTTGGCTGCTCGCCCTGGCGCCTGCTGTACCCGCTGTCGTCGTGTTGTCCTCCTGTCGCCAGCTGTGGACTCCAACGCGACAGAGCTGTCGCGCTGGAGCCCACAGCCAGCAACAAGAGGAGGTGAGCGACAGCTCTATGGCTGGACTCTGCGGCGCCTTCTGAACTGTCGGCTGATGTCGCAGATGCACGCCGCCGTACTTGGAGCTGGTGTGGCCGTACCCTTTGGCGCTGAATGTGTTTTTTGTCACGTTGTAAATCTATGTGTGCTGCCGTTTCCTCCTTGGGCTGTCGGGACTCCGGCATGATGTGGCGGGGCTCCTGGATGGCTTCCCAGCCGTCCTCCCCTTCGCCAAACCTTAGACCCGGCCAATGAGCCGGGCCTCCCCTCTGGCACCTGATGGAATCGGCCGAGCCGTCGTCGGGAGGCGCTCCAGAGGCAGCCGCCGGGACTTCTGAGGCGATCAGGCGGCGTCTGACGGCACAGAACACCGATGTCGGCGGTGGTATCATGAGTTATGTGACGGCAGCATTGGCGGAGCCCACGTTAGGCGAAATTACCGAAGACGCCTTTCCAGAACCGATGCGTTTTCTTCGGCGAGTTTCTGCTGGTTACGGCTGATTATGCATTTATAGAAGCTGCACGCTAATATCCATCCGAAGGTGCCGGCCGGCGGGCATCGCGCCATTCTGCGGACCCTGGGGGACATTCGGCTACTATCTGGGTCAGCGTAAACGGACGCCTGGATTGCCTTCACATGGAGATGTGACGGCATCATTTAAAAATGATTTCGGTATGCGATAAAACAGCTTAATAGATGTCCGCCCATGGCGGAGGGTGTCCCAAGTTCATTCAACATCGTTAAATAAACCGGATGCCTGCTCAGAGTGCTTCAAACCTCGCTGAAATTTAAATGCAGTCCCGCACGCAGGGCTGAAATATGGCCCTACTTGCTAGCGCCGCGTCGGCCCAAATATTTAACAACTGCGGACAGACTAAACGCTCCTCAAACTCCAGTATTTGGCCCATTTTCCGGTGATTGTGATGTTCGCCGGGACCGCAAATACGACTATAATTGGTGTGATGTGAGGCGAACGCCATCCCGGGGAGCCGGCGCAGATCGCCGGCGCATACCGCGGCGGCGCCTGCCGCGCCTGCGGCGAGACCGCTGCAGTCTCGTGCGCCACAACACAGGCCGGCGGTCTGGGCGCGGACGGGCCGGCGGCTCGAGACGCAGCGAGTTCGCCGAGCTGGGGACGAGGCGTGAGAAAGCCCGGCGGCGAGGGCCGGCTCCGAAGGCTCGCAGAGCGCCGGGCCACGCGCCGCGCTAGGGGACCTCCGCGGGCCGGTCGGCCGAGCGGGCCCGCCACCTGGGCCGGTCTGCGGTCCTGTGTGGTCCTGGCAGACCTGTGGTCTGTCGAGCCAGACCGCCACCTGGGCTGGTCCGTGGGCCTGTGTGGTCCTGACAGACCTGTAGTCTGTCGAGCCAGACTGTCACCTGGGCTGGTCTGTGGTCCTGCGTGGTCCTGACAGACCTGTGATCTGTCGAGCCAGACCGCCACCTGGGCAGGTCTGTCGAGCCGATCCGCCAGCTGAGCTCGACAAGTTGGTGCCGTGCTCCCCGCCAGGCCCGGCCGGGGACGGCGGCAAGGGCCGGCTATGCGGCTGGTCGCTCGCACATCGATTGGAGGCGGCCGGTGGCCAGCAGGGGCGCCGGGGCGTCAGCGCCCTGCGCCGCCGCCTGGTCTCCACTCCGCGCCGCCGTCTCGTCAGCAGACGCTGGAAGCGCTCAGACGTCCGGTCCGGGGATGGTGCCGACGCTGCTGCCGCTTCGGCACGCTCGGCGGGCTGACATCGTCAGAGACACCGACCGGGGTGGAATCGCGTGATCGGCCAACGCTGACTGTGGCCCGTGTTATGCCTGTGGCCGTACGCTGCTCTGGTTTTGCCTGTCCTCTTGTGTAATGAGTGGACCGCTATGAGGGCTGCTGGCCATGCCACACGCATAGCCATTTGCAACGCTACCTACGCAACATGCTGATGCGGGTGTTCCGTTCGGATGTGTTGTTATCCCACTAGGTTTTACAACAGCTCTTTGACCGGCACGCTTACTCAATCTGCATACCACCGGCCATCCGCGTGCATTCCCCGCCGCGGACCGTTAGTCGCTTGGAAAGTCACGCCAGCACACTGGTCGCGTGGAAGTGCCTTACTTCATCCCGCGCCCCAAATGAGATTGTCGCGGGCCGCCGAGGATGGCGCCGATCCTATCATCTTGCAGAATCAGATTAGACGGCCGTCAAAGCTGGTCTGAGTTTGTCCAATCGGTGACGGATGGAGGTACTGATGTCGTTATCGCCCAGCCGCCAGGCGACGCGAACCATCAAACAGAGGTCTTTGTTTTCAAGAGGCCGGCTCTGGTCGGCGGCGGCCGTGGCACTCACAGGTCACCCCCGTATCATATCCGTGTCGCCCAGCGTATCTGTCGGCCGTGGGTGCACAGGGCTGGAGTGCTCGTCACTTGTACGCGGAAGCCGAGCGTACCCAGCTGCGGCAGGGGAGCGCAGACTGACGCCCGCGGTCGGGCAGGACAGTCCGCTCCGGCTGACGACCGGCCGCGCGCCGGCCGGTGACGACCTCGACAGCAGGGGTGTGTGGGCGTGGTGGACTCGGGGATACACTATCCGCCAGTGCAGCCCGCGACCTGACCCGTGCGGAAGGCCGCGCGACATGGCGGCCACTGGCCGTGGCCTGGACGGTCTGGTGTCCGTGGCGCAACGGCGGCGCTTGCGTCCTGTCCTCTCTTGCCGACCGCCCGTGCCTTTGCTCAGGGCCCTTTTGTGTAGGAAATGGCCCCGGGCTCGCGCGAGAATAAGATGGTTCGCCTGGGGCTCACGAGTCACGTAGCGTCGGCTTCCATTTGGGATCAGATGACAGCTCCCACTTCGGGTCAGGTTATGGCTTCCGCCTTGGATCTATTGATACTTTCCATCTTAGGGAAATAATTCCTCCCATCTGGGATCAAGTAATGGCCGCCATCTCGGACCAGATGGCGTGTCCCATCTCATAGGCGGTGGAGGCCGCTAAGTCGGGTGAGACGATGGCTCCTGTTTTGAGGCAGTGGCGTCTCCTTGCTCGGATCAGGTGATAAGTCCCAACTATAATCCATGAGGGGCGTAATCGCAACGCACTGAGGATGCTCTTTTCTATGTGACGTCACGTAGAATCTTTGCCGGATATATTCCCAGCGCGACACGGTTTCTGTTCTATCTCCGTATCTGTCGTGGCAAGAAGGCGTATCTTCGTCGTCCGGGTTGTTGCGAACACCACGAGGCGCAGAATCTTTGAAGCATGACTTGAATGAAGTCGACGGCACATATATTCTCTGTCGCCCGTGTCACTGCGAATACACCCGAGGCCTGTTTGCTGGGGCGCCTGTCAGGACGGCAGCCATATCGCAGCGTTCAGCCGCGGCGGCGGCTCAGTCCACTATCCGGCTCTCGGGTCCAAACCGGCGGCGGCGTCCGGGACGCCTGTGACACGCATCGATTTTCGGCGGCCGACGGGAGCGCGGCCGGGCCGACCCGGCGGGTCCGGCCAGCGCGCGCTCGGCTGGCACCTGACGGGCCCCACGCGTGCTCGCTGTCGAGGCAGCCGGACGAGCTGGACGAACGGGACGAACAGGACGAACAGGGCGGACAGGACGAGCCGGACGGGCAGGGCGAGCAGGATGGGCAGGACGAGCAGGACGAGCAGGACGAGCAACGAGCAGGACGGGCAGGACGAGCGGGACCAGCGGGACGAACAGGACGAGCAGGACGGACAGGACGAGCCGGGCGGGCAGGACGAGCAGGACAGGCCGGACGGGCAGGACGGGCGGGACGTGCAGGACGAGCAGGACGAGCAGGACGAGTCAGACGAGCGGGACGAGCAGGACGAGCGGGGCGGACGAGCGCGCCGGACGGCGGCCGATCCGCCCGGCGTTGGGCGTGGCGCTCTGCAGCGAATGCGCCACTCTACATAGCTGCGCCTCCGCCCGTGTATGTGTGGATAAACGACGCGTGAGCGGGCTGCCGCTGCAAACACCTCGCGACACCGGAGCGTGCCAGCGCAGATTGCCGAGGCCAGCTAATGGACGAGGAGTCTCTGGAGCGTGCGTTATCGCCGCCATGTGTCACCGTTATGACGCCGCTGGACTGTGAGGCGCGGTAAACTGCATGCCGGCTTCAGGGTTCCACATGGACGCCATGGAATGAGATAGTGTTGTTTGGGCCCGTCAGTAGTAGAGATGTGTGGATGTTAATGTGAGTGTTACTTTCTGTCGCTCTGAATCTCGCCATACATGTTGTGTTGCAGGCTTCCGTGAGGGTGGAGAATGCGGAGCAACGTTAGGGTAGTCAACGTGTTACACGAATGTCTTGACACGCAACATGAATATCTTGTGGAGGAAAAGTACTGAAGTCAGCCAAAGCTTAAGTGCTTCTTTGGGAGGAGTTGTATAGCTTTGCCGCACTTGCCGTGTAACATTTTCCACCCATAGGTCTCAGATAAATTCATTGCCGGATATGCATGTGCGGAGAGATGATTTTGATGCCGCGTTTACATTGATGCCAGGATCGTTGTAAATCTTTTTCTTCTGATATTACTAAAATTATTAAACCGCAATCCCAAGCTTTTACCGTGCGAGTTGATTTCTTGACAGCCATATTTCTCCATGTTGACACACGACTGCACGTAGATTGAGAAGCATCGGTTGGGCTGACCATGTCCGTTTCGTTTTCAGGAGCTGAAGGAGAGCTTCAACTACGGCCTCTTCTACCCACCGCAGAATGGCAAAGCCGGCAAGTTCCTGGACGAAGCACGTCCCATAGCCGACTATCCGTTCTCTGAGCCTGTGGGCTACCTGGAGGTAAGCTGACGCTGGCGCGTCTCTGGCCCAGAGGCCGCGGCAAGAGAGGGAGCTGCGGGGTGACTGACGCGGAGTGTCTGACGCGGGCGTGTCAGACGCTCAGTATCTGACAGTGTCTGACGCGAAGTGTCTAACGCCGGGTGTCTGACGCGGACTGTCTCACGCGGAGAGAGTGTCGCCCTGCCTTCAGGCGCGGGGCTGCGGGACTCCCTCCGCTATCGCTCCATCAGGCGCAGGCTTACACACAGCTTTTTCGGCTCAACACGCCTTTTTGGACTAGTCTAGAAGTCATGGCTGGAGATCCAAAGGCATTTGGTTGTATTACAGTGTTAATACCCAGTGTGCATGGCTCACGTCAGCAAACCAATGGTTGCTAAAGGATGTTGAACTCGTTGTCAGATGGCCATTTCCAGTAACTCATGTATCTAAAACCAAATTTGCTCCACCTGAGACATGACTTCTAGAAGCGTATTCTAAGGCCGGACTGGAAGCGCAAAACCGCGCTCTTTTTAAGGCCGTAAAACAGCACAAAAACCATGGTGAATTAGTCGATGCTGGGCTCTCGCCGTCGGACGTCCACTCGGACTAAAGCGACGCCAAGGCTGTTTCCATCGATTATATGCCAAGATGACCTTTACCGGACACTGGTCGCGTCTAGTAGCCAGTGTTAAGACAACGCGACCCATAATACTAGCCATAACAGAACTAATGGACACGTCGTATCCGTCGGTTTTTCGTCCAACAATCTTTGACTTATGCGATTTCACATGTCCTCTGGGGCGACGCCGTGTGACGTGTAAGACATTGCTCACCTCGATCTTTCAGGCAGGGTTGATGGGGCCTGGCTGCCCTGGTAGCCCTGCTCGAGTTAGAGTGTGCGGGACCTGTCGTTACATCCCCTACCGATGCCCAATCCCCGTCAGTCCGTCCCACTCTGGGTCATAGCGGCACACTCCGCCGCAGCTGATCGTGAGGTCGTCTCCAGGGGAGAAGGTCACTCCCGAGCACGATTACTGCTGGGGCCTGTTGCGGCAGTGGTGGGGGTTCAAGGCGAACCGGGAGGCGAAGGCGGAGTGCTGCAACTGCCGCCGATTAGTCGGATTGGCCATTCAGAAGAGAGCCGCTTAGACCGGTCGCACGTGATTTGCGTACCTGCACGGGATGGGTTCGTTATATTCCCATGCTGTGCTGCGATGACGAGCCTGGTTTGTGTTTGAGCCACCCGATCATGCAAAGCCGCGGCCTGTGCACCTTGACAATTGCCTTCCCGGCGGCCGTGCGGCCGTCGGATAACCTGCAACTCACCGGCTCGCTGACGCCAGCGCAAAGGCGCAGCGGCCTCCCCGTGGCCTCAGCCGCACGAGCCCACTATGCAAGCCCCGCCCGACACGCCGGGAGTCTCTCTCTCTCTTCTTTCTCTTCTCTCTCCTCTCTCTCTCTCTCTCTCTCTCTCTCCTCTCTCCATCTCGTCTCTCT